ATTAACAATCTAAATTTATTATAATATAATTTTTTTTTTTTGAATATACGCAAATATCCTGTAAATGTATTATATAATGTCCTGTAATATATACTGTAAATGATGACGTGTCTAGTTTTCTTTTCATTTGCCTTACAATATCTATAGCTAATAATAGCATAATAAAATTATACGTCTTGTCTGTGTGTGTTCGTGGGTAAGAAGAGAATAATTCCAAAATATCAAAAACACATTTTAAAAAAAAAAAAAATTATATTTGATGTTCGTATGTTATAAGGTCGATGTACCATACACTGTACCGTATTATAATATACACCATACATATACTATACATCAATCTAAAAAATCTACATGGTCTGTTGATTAATAATAACTACGATAAAATGATTTGATGTTAAACACTGAAAGTACTGCGAGGGACAGAAAGAACAAATTAATTTGGTATGGCGTTTTTTTTAACCCCTATTGTAAGTATAGTTATAGTTGTGCCGTTTGTGTATGGTTCCCACCATACGACAATTATTTATTATAAACTATTATTATAAATTGTAAAAGTAGACCCACAGCATATATTTTGTTGTTAGTTCATAATGATATTTAATCTCAAAAATTTGATAGTAATAATATTACGATTGTTGAGACTCTCTCACTTATTATTTCACAACGTACGAGTATCTATTCATTGTTGTAAATATAAATGTCCTTATTTTTATTCCTTATTTTAACATATTGAAAATGTCTATAAATATAATTACAAATACCTGTTAATGTACTAAAACCGTAAAAATTTAATTTTAAAACTACAGTCTTTGCAAGGTTAAGACAATATTTGTGTTCTCGAAAATTCAGAATAAACACATGTAAAACGTTTACGTCTTTATATTCAGCATCATTGGTGACATAAAGTTTTTTCTACGAATCAGTGCAGTAAAACAGCAAAGAAAACCTATAACTAGACATTCCCGTAGTTCAAATATTTCGTAAACTGTTTAATGGTAAAGTTCCATCCACCCATCAAACTAATTTGGTCATGAAACAATTACTTCATAATATACCCAAGGTACTAATTCTGCTCTTGTACAAAGTATAGGTTTCTACTAGACAGTTTTACCAAATTCAATTTTACTAATGAAATATTTGTTATAGATTATCACTGCAGTTCTCGATAAAGTAATCGCCCTGTTAATAATAATACATTATTGAACTATATCGTTCATGATTCTAATGAAAATGTCTATAATTTAGCTTATACGTATATAGTATGACAATGTCGACAATGAAGAATGATTTTTTCTGAAAAGAATAATGCGTTTACTAATGAAATCCCCTTACACCGACAAAAACTTGAACAATGCACATCAATCATACTGTTACAGCAGAATTTTCATCAATCAATTAATTCATTAGGAAACTAAAATGCGTTTCCTTTATAGGATGCAGAACTTAACCCCTCGTTATTTATTTTACAACCATGTTTTGTATTTTTTTCATCGATTTTTCAGCAATCTGACAACAATAATAAAATAAATGGATATTCATGGTGTATTATATATAAACCATATTTCATCACTGTATAGATTATGTAAGATTTTACATTGACAATATAATGTGGTAGATGATATTCTATACTAAAAATAATTTTCATCTTCAAGTTTAATATTGTGTTAAAAGTAAACAAAATATAATATAGCACATAACCCACAAATCAACGAATAATGCAAAATTTAACTTAAAAAAAAAAAAAAAAAAAAATTCGAATTAAATTAAAATATTATGTACAAATAATCAGTACTTACAAAAACTACATAATTTATAGTATACGAACAACAGATTTAGACGTTAAATTCGTCACTTTGGAGTTGTCGAGATTGGCTTAAAAAAAATTATAATTTTTAATTTAAAGACAAGTAGTCATTGTAGTATTATGTTCAGAGACGGATTGGGCCATCGAGTAATCGTAAAATTCCTTATGGGCCTCGTAATGATGAATTATAATGGGCCGCAAGAACAACTGTTTTATGTATATATATTATATATGTTATGTATAGACAGTTTAACTTTACATTACATTCATTTTTTTTCTGACTTATAATGGTCCTCCTGTAGAATTTTTTAGCATTGCTGTTTGGTCGAACAATTTTATCTATAAAGTAGGTACCTACGGAACAAAATTACGTAAAATTAAAATGTCTATAAATATCTCAAAAGTATTAACTATAATAGCTACAATGTTTTTAAAATTA